GTGTGTGTGTGTGTGTGTGTGTGTGTGTCACAATGAACTGCCTTTTCTGTTCAATAGGAGTCGACCATCACCCACACCTGTCAACCTCCCAACTATCAAGCTGCATTAATCATGGGTGTGCAGCATAACCAGTGGCTAGACAGAAATTACAAGTGACTGAAATGTCAGATACACCAATAGTTGGCACATCAAGCTGAATACCCTGGGCAATGATACTCACTTTTTTTCATCACAATCCTTCTTAGCAGCCTGCAAATGGACAAACAGGAACATAGACAAGTTGGAATATAAGTCAAAGGCAAAATTGCTATGACACTCCACATCTTTCAGACAGTTGAAACACCGCCATTCCCAAAGGAGTGATAACCTACTCTCAGTTTTTGTACATTCGTGGTTTTGGAAGTTTACTAGTAGCTTGAGCTGTGTTAACAGTCTTAAGAAAATGTACAGAATCTTCACTTCCCATCCACAGAACCAGCAAACTCACCCATATACGAAGACCAGGGCCCAGTCTTGATACCATGAATCAGAACCCTACTTTGTTAGCCATACTCGTCCTCCTACAGCATCACTTCATTCTTACTCTTTTGGTCACCAGCCCAAGAACCACTCGTAGCTATATAGCCGTCCCTGCACAAGTGCCAATGCAGGCAGTCTTCCAGCATAGCCAGGGATTGGAGAACCAACCGAAAGGCATACCGAGTTCTCTGGACCTTAACACTGCTTCCCTTATGCAAGCCGTACTAGGCTAATGGCCATGCCGAGATGCCTGACCAGTTTGACGGCTGGGCTCAAGTTTTGTCACAGTTGGGCTACTGCCACAGCCTTGGACCTGCGCAGGCTCGTAGGCCCTGGAGCAGCTCCTATTCAGGAAGCTGTGACACAGTTTTGAAAAGATAAGGGCTGTATTCATCCTTCGTGACAACCGTTAACATTCGAGTCGAGTCGACCGATACAGTGAAGATTGGCATGGCCCCTGCGCAAGGATGACACGCATAAATCGAGACACGGTCCAAAATAATGTTATGATCCTTGCCAAAAGTGCAAGTACACGAGGAAATGCAATGCCGTCCAATTGCGAATGGAAATGAATGAACTTGAGAGAGGAGAGAGAGACCAAAGAAGAAGAAGAAGATGAAAGAAAGAAGATGCACACCAGCGAAGGACCAATGACAGCTCCCCCTGGTCTCGCCAACCAACTCCTCCTTGTCTTCCCCTCTTATTCAATCAATAAATAAAAATAATAAAGATGAATGACTGAACCAGAACCAATGTCCAAATCCCTCTTCGACTGCCAGCACAATATAAGGTCCCACCATAGCCATGACGGAAAGGTCTGGGCTCTGGCGGACTACTCCTTGCCCGATGTACAAAAGATGCAAAAGCAGGCGAATAAAATAGCCAGGTAAGTACCCCTGGCGCTCTTTCAGACTGCCTGAATCTGCCTTGAAGCCTTCTTGATGTGGCACTATCCGCCTAGGGCTCTTTCAAATGCTACGCCTGCAAAAGATGGCGAATAAAATAGCCAGGTAAGTGCCCCTGGTGCTCTCCTCCCTTGTTCCCTTCTTCCTACTCCTACCCAGTCCCTTCCACCATCGCCAAAGGTGGTGGGCTGGGCACTCCACTTCCCCCAGCGTTGCACACTAGCACTCCTCCTGGCGCTCCCGCAGTGTGACACGTGAACGCAGCAAACGAGGAGAAACTCGCTCCTCCTGGAGATAGTGGCCTACGAGGCTCTTGGGTGGCGACTTTCACACCGCACAGCCTCTCAAGCAACCGGTACCTCCTCCATTTCAGAGGGAAACATCATTGCAGACCTACAGGCCCTGGACCTACACTAGTGGACTTCTACCCCTAACGAGTTTTGTCTTCTTCTGCTCGGCCTACCGCTACTCAAGTGCTACCGGTACTGACACGACGCTACTTGACTGTGCCCTAAGCTACCCCTTCGGTCACTTGAGTGTTTGCTGGACCACATGCAAGTACCAGCCCCACGGCCCTCCAAAACAAACAAGTGCCCTGGAAGGCCGGCCACACACACACACAGGCCGACAAGCACTCAAACAGGCACACGGACCAGCCACACAAAGACTTAGAAAACTCAGCAGAACGCCCATACATTCCAGCGGCAAAACTCAGACATCAACAGTGTTCTCAGTCCGTGTTT